TGGGAGAGAGCCAAAGCATAAGAGACTGTTAAAAACTGAGAACAAACTGAGGGTTGATGGGTGGTGGGAGGGAGGGGAGGGTGGGTGATGGGTATTGAGGAGGGCACCTTTTGGGATGAGCACTGGGTGTTGTATGGAAACCAATTTGACAATAAATTTCATATATAAATAAAAATAAAAAAAAATGGGTAGAAGACATGAAGAGACATTTCTCTAAAAAAGACATCCAGATGGCCAACAGACACATGCGAAGATGCTCACCATCACTCATCATCAGAGAACTGCAAATCAAAACTACAATGAGATATCACCTTATACCTGTCAGAATAAGCTAAAATCAACAACACAAGAAACAACAGGTTTTGGCAAGGATGTAGGGAAAAATGATACCTCATGCACTGTGATGCAGACACTGTGGAAAACAATTTGAGTGTCGTCAAAAAATTACAACTAGAGCATTAAGATGGAAGTATTGGATCCAGATACCCTATCGAGAGAGAGAGAGAGAGAGAGAGAGAGAGAGAGAGAGATGTTGGTGGAAGAGCTAAGATGGAAGAGTAGTAGGAGGACCCTTGGCTTGCCTGGTCCTTTGAACACAGCTAAATGAATATTAAATCATTCTGAATACCCAAGAAATGTATCTGAGGACTCACATGATAAACTACATAACTAGAGGGAGAGAAAAGGCCACATTGTGGAAGGTAGGAGGTGCAGAGACATGATTTGGGGGAGTAATGGGCAGAAGGTGTTATGGAGGGAAGGGAGCCCTGGTATTGGGAGAGGAGAAAGACAAGCACATAGGGGATCTCTCAAGGAAAACATTTTCCCAAAGACATTGGATGGGGAAACAAGAGGGACTGATTTTCATGAGTTTTTACAACCAGTGGAACTCAAAAAGTGGAGTTTTAGAGACCAGCCATATGGTTGGTGTGGAGCCCTGAGTGCACTGCAGTGCTATTATGACAAAGGAAGGTAGATAGATGGTGCAATCTGAAGATACCCTGGGATACACTAGGAGGGATTTTTTCCCTTCTTGGAGTGAATCTCGGAGAGGTAGCATTGCTTCTCCAGAGACAAAAGAGCTGGTAGACCCATTACACAATCCCACCCCTCAGCATAGGTGCAGACACACCTGCTGAGGGTGGCTAACCTGGACCCTGGCTCTTGGCTTTTCTTTACCCTAAATTCCATATGCCTGTACTTTGGTGCAACTGCCCTTCTGTAACAAAATTGCATCAGTCCCAGCATGGCAATACCTTTCCCTAGAGGACCAATATGTGTCCCCTTCACACCAGGTCCCTAACGTTTGGAATTTTAAAACTCAGCCTGTCTGGGATAGAACACAAGTACACAGCACTGCCTGGTGAGTAGCCTGAACACAGAAAGGGTGAAAACAGGGATCTGAGGGATACCTAGGTCATGTGAGGGAAGAGGGTTCACTCTACCGGGAGGGTTTCCCAGATGGCAATGGGTGTGACTTCCCCTATTCAAGGACAAGAGAGCTGGCTGAAGCCATTTCTGTTCCTTGCCCCCTTCGCATAAATTAACTTCAGTAAACTGCACAGCACCAACACTCATGGTTTTACCACTTACACCAAGCCTCACTCCCCTGTGCTCTGCAGGTGCTGTTTTTCTGTGGCAAGTGTGCTTGACAACCAGCGAAATGGACTCCTTTCCTTGAAGACCAGCACAAACACCCACTTTTACCACATCTACTGACCATAGAGTTCTGCACAGCTTTATTTCTAGTGGAAATTCCATCAGGTCGCTTTTAGCAAGAATACCAGAGCACACTAGTTAAAATTTAACGTACTCTGACCAACGCC